ATTTCTTTTCCTTTTTCCTAAATAGTTATATGATTAAATATTATATATATATATATATATATCATTAATAGATATTATATTTACCAAAACAGTAGATTTTTAGGTTTTTATAACATCTATTAGCGTGATATATTTTATACTTTGTTGGAAGACATATAGAAAAGACAATTTTTATGGATGACAACAAATAAAACACTGTCAGAGTACACAACAAAATCAAAATAAATACATAACTCACGGCCGATTAGATCGACCTGCTCTGATACCACTAAATGTGACACCCTCTACCCCAACATCAATAGACAATAATTGTAAAGAAATCTTGTATTCTGAAGGTCGAACGAGTGTTCTGAACGAGTATTCCGATCCAACGTGAGTAGACGGGTTTATACCTGCAAAAGGCACTCCGATGCTCAAGTCAGCACAAGCACGAAAATCTAGAGTAATTAATGAACAGTGACGTTACCTTTTGACCTGAGCTATTTATACTGACAATCGTGGGCCCTGGACCTTATGGGCCCTGTAACATACTTGCCGTATTAGGCAATACTTCTTAATCAGCTAATTAACCCTTAATCATTTATTAAAGATAATTAATAAAGATAAGCCGATCCAGGTGCCATCGGGTCATCTTGCTCTGGATCAATACCCTTGAAATCAGCATCGGTGAAGGTTATTGCTGGTAACCTCCGTGAAGACTGTCTATGAACAACGTTAACCGATCGAATTGCTCTAAGATGCCTCTTTTGAGCCGATGAAGTTGAGCCTCCACCCGCAAACCCTCCTGCAATAGTATTGATCACCCTCCTATGTGATGGTGCCGAGGTATCCTTTCTTTCTCGCGACCTACTTCTTTCTCGTGACCTGCTTCTTTCACGAGGGGCTCTATCGGAACGGTCTTGTCTGCGCCGATCTTGATACCTGGGTTGATATGAGCGAGTTTGCGACGACCCTGTCCGATCCACAAAATTATGCAACTTGCCTTGCTTAATCAAATCTTCAATTCTGTCTCTAAGGGCTGCACATTCATCAGTAGAATGTCCACGATTGCGATGATACCGACAAGATTTACTAGTATCCGCACGTGGTGGTGTAGCTGCTCTTTTTGGAATTGTCAATACTTCTGAAGCTAAAGCTTGTTCAAGTACCGTCGAACGGCTAGTGTTGAGGGGAGTATATTGATTGTACTTCGGACCCCGACTAGGCCGATCCCGAAGAGATATCTCCTTTCCTCTCCCCCTGTATGACTGTTCTGCTTGCTTTTCTACCTTGCTCGATGACTCAGCTCGAGCCTGATTACGATATTCCGCCAACTCTTCCATCTGCATATACTTATCAGCCCTTCTCCTTAAATCACTCATGTCCAAAGGAGGCTTTTTACAAATACTATTGACAAACGGCCCCGGTTTTAAGGCTGTTGTGAGGTGATGCAATGCTACAGCAGGATTAAGATCCCGAATTTCCAGAGTAGCCTTGTTAAACCGATCCATAAATGCCCGCAAAGATTCCTTCTTGTCCTGCCTAATACCAACCAAAGATAAAGACGTTAGATTATGAGGATGACTTGTTGCAAATTGAATAGCGAATTGTGAAGACAATGTGTTGAACGAGTCGATTGAATTGGGTGGAAGACTAGTGAACCAATTGAGGGCTCTGCCTTTGAGAGACGTAGGAAAGATCCTACACAATGCAGCATCATCTGTTGTGCTCAGAGTTACCTGCGTCAGAAAAACATCCAAATGCTCATCAGGATCTGTCGTACCATCGTATTTATCAATAGGTAAAGCTTTCCAATTATCCATTAAGGGGAGTTGCATAATGGAGGGAGTAAAAGGGTGTCGATGCGATCCAACAGTCATCATATCTGCAGGACGACCCACAGTTGGTAAAGCCGAAGGGAACTTCTCAGGGACTGCTGCCGAAGCATGGGGAACTGAAGTATGTGTCGCGTAAGATTGATACGGCCCTTGAGTTTGTGTGTTGGTGGCATGAGTAGGTTTCCAAGAAGTATCTTGACTTTTCAACACCTCATTCTCAGCTCTCAAGGCCGAAAGCTCCCTTGCATCTCTCTCTCTTTGTTGCTTCATCAACTCCATTTCTTGCTTCAACAATCGCACCGTTTCAGAAAGATCAGTTCCATCAACGACTTCAACATGCTCTTCATTGGGACGATCTTGAGTGTTTGTTCTCCGAGTTACCGGCATTGTTCTTCTTAGTTAAACTTCCAATTAGCTTCGTTCGGCCCCACGGTGGGCGCCAAATGTACCTGTATAAGGATACACCAATGATCTTCTTGTATTCTGAAGGTCGAACGAGTGTTCTGAACGAGTATTCCGATCCAACGTGAGTAGACGGGTTTATACCTGCAAAAGGCACTCCGATGCTCAAGTCAGCACAAGCACGAAAATCTAGAGTAATTAATGAACAGTGACGTTACCTTTTGACCTGAGCTATTTATACTGACAATCGTGGGCCCTGGACCTTATGGGCCCTGTAACATACTTACCGTATTAGGTAATACTTCTTAATCAGCTAATTAACCCTTAATCATTTATTAAAGATAATTAATAAAGATAAGCCGATCCAGGTGACCGATTGGCAATCGGCCACCTGGTTCGGCCATTCGGCGGCCGATAAGAGGGTGGCTGAACGCCCCTACTCGTACAATATCATTTATTATTTCTTTTTTATTTTAATATTTTTATAGTATTATTATAACTTTTTATTTAATTTTAGTAATTCTGTCACATATAAGTAAAATTTGTGATAAAAATTAATTTTTTGATTATTTTTTTTAATTAGCTTTTTTTATTAATTCATCTTATACTCATTTTTAATCTAAAATTTTTGTTGTTTGAAATTTATTTTTTAAATTTATTTGTTCACATAATTTAAGGTAAAAAAACCTTCAACTTCTATGGTAAGGTAGCGGTTCCCAAATTTTAGAATGTATAGCTGATTCAATGAGGTGATAAAACACTCGAAGAAAATAGTTTCGACTTTTGACTTTTCAGCCATTTATTTTATACATTTATTTTTATGTATTTAATGATGTTAAAAATATTCAACAAAATATTTTAATTATACACTTTAATTATTTGTATTTTCTTTCGAAAGTTATAAAAAAAAATTGTATATATAACTAAAATTTAAATAAAATCTATATAAAAAATTTAAAAATTATAAAATTAAAATTCAAATATTCTTCATAATTATACTAATAACAATAAGTGAATTTAAAAACTGAATTTTAAAAGTTCAATTATATAAGTTTAAAGTTCAAATAATAATTGTTAAAATAAAATATTTTAATTATAAATAAATCAAAATAAAAAATAATAAAATATAATATTTAAATATTATATAAGTTTAAATAAATTTAATATTAACAAGGTATCCGTCAGTATGATACTATAATATCTATACCCTCCTATTGTATTATGGGGTGCTTTAGATCATAGTTTTTTATTTTTGGGCTAAGGTATTTGATTAGGGTGGGAACAAAAACCTAGACGTATTTTTGTGGCTATTGGACCTATTTTTGGTGTTAGAAAGGCTTAGGCCCAAGTGGAGGGCAAAGGTTGCATGGTCTTATCGTGCACCTAGAAGTAGCCTAGCTAAACCCAAAGATTCCATCCTTGGCCACCAAGTTGCATCTAAGGTTAATTTGCATTTCATTTGGTGTGCATTTGGCTTGTGAATTTCGGCCATGCACTCTCCAAATGCAACCCTAGATGCCTCCCACTCCTATAAATACCCTAGGCTATGCATCATGTAAATACTTTGGATTATATGAATTTAAGAGAGCATTTCTTTGCCTCAAATCCTATCCTTAGTCCCTAGGTTACCTTTGGCTAACCTTCTCCTATCTCCACCATTGGAGAGTGAGAAACCTAGAGTGGCCTCCATCTACCTTTGGAGTGATCCAACCCACCTTGAGCAACCCACACCTTCTGCCTAACCCACCAACATTCTCACGTCCAAAACCTACTCCACCTTAAACACCCCATTTCCTAACTTTTGGTGAGCCTAGATCATTGGGCAAGGTGACCCTCTTCAAGACGCCATTTTCAACCATGGAAGGGAGGTCTCCATCACATATACAACCTCAAAAGGAGATAGGTTAGTAGTCTTGTGCATTACTCTATTATAAGCAAGCTCTATGTGGGGGAGGCATTCATCCCAAGTTTTCTTGTTGTCCTCAGTAATTACAGAAATGCCATTACTAATAAAAATATTCTTTTAAAGAAATTGGGGTGTTACATTATCTGCAATACCTATGTCTCCATAAAACCCTTTAATCCAAGCACCTTCCGAATTCCTAATCAATTCGCCGAAGTCAATAAGGACAGTTATCCACATGCAGAGAGACATTCTCACCAATGCCAAACTCACAATGCACCCAAATCTCTATGATATGTTGACATGAAAAACTATCACCCCATAAACTTGTAAATTAGCTTACAACAACGAGATGGCCTGTTGGACAATCTACCAAGTTACCATATTTTGATTCTCAAAAATATGCAAGTTTCGGGCTTTCCATAATAACTAGCAAACAGTGAAAGATAACACTTACATTTCCTAAAAGCAGTCATACGATCAACTATTCCAACTAACATGCAACTGAGGGAGCTCCATATTACTCAAGCCTAACATCCTCCACACCATTACACCAATAATGTGCAACTACACCGAAATAGAAAGTACAATACATTCTCATTCTCATGGCCACATCTTAAAGCTAGCTGATATAAGAAGATTTGAGTGAATAAAACATTTAATATTAATCTATATTAAACACTTTAAATGCAATTTAAAATTTTGAAAGGAATTAATACAGCTTATTAATCTAAATATCCTTATCATTATTATATATAAAAAAAAAAGTCCTTAACCATTAAATAAAGCTGCAAAACAAAATGAGCTTGTGTTTTTAACTTCCAAAGAGGAAATTGAGGCGTCGCCAAACGCGACCGAAATTTAGTGTGTCACTCAGGCCGTCGTAACTCGTAACCCATTCATTTGCTTCCGACCGTTGCACACACACACACACACGTGTTTCGGAAGCAAAGCGAGTCGGAACACGCGCAAAGCGCGTGCGCGTCACCGCAACGTTAGTTCCCATTTCTTCCATTGTCGAAAATTAAACTCATTTAAAGTCATCGTCATCACCACACCATCCATTATTATTTCCCCTCCATTTTCTCTCCCTTTCTCTCTCACAGAGAATCCAAACCCTAGAAAATTCGCCCTTCATAAATTCCCCGACGAAACCCTAGATTTCCTCTCCAAACTCTCTTACCCTCCCGAGATAAAAACACACAAATTCTTCGGCATTCGGTGCCCAGATTGCAGATCCCGTTAATTCTCTTCCCATCCCCCGATCAGGTTTGGATTCCGGAGGAAATTCAAATTAATTTCGACGCATTGGTGTCGTGGCCTGCGCATGGGTAAGATTCTGCGAGAAACCGCGAGGCCGTCCTTTAATTGTTCGTCGGCGTCACCGTCGTCGGCACCTCCGGCAACGACGTCGTCTACGTCGGTGACGGATACAGTGAGGGGGTCGCACCGATTCAAGATCACGGGGTATTCTCTGTCGAAGGGGATTGGGATTGGGAAGTACATAGCATCGGATATATTTTCGGTGGGAGGGTACGATTGGGCGATTTATTTTTATCCTGACGGGAAGAGCGTGGAGGACAATGCTAC